CCTCATATTTAACATAATCAATTGAATATGCCTTATCAAAAATGCTTGGAACTGTGAGTGTTATATTTTTCTAGTTTTGTAGTGTTTGTATGTACACAATCTGTGAAGTGTCCCCTGACCTGAGGATGGGACCAATGTCTAACACAAAATCCATTTGTTAATGTGCCTTGTCCATTTAGCTAGAAGGTAATTTTTTTTAGAAATTGTTGGGTTTTTTACGTAATTCTTTAGGGATTTCACATCATGCACCCCAATCCTACTCACCCCCAGTCCCTCTATATCCGCTCCTCAGCCCTGCAGCATGCCCCCAATTAATTAAAAACAAAACAAAACAAACAGAAAACCTTACTCCCCCATCTCTTAATTTATTTGAGTGGCATCAAGAGCTTCAGTGTGTCACCCAGTATTCCCTTTGGTCCAATCAGTCCCATCCACGAAATGTTCTTTGCAATGAACCATTGGCTGATTCAAGGTCTCTGGCACACCATCATCACTGGGCACTCACCGAAACTCCTCTCGGATATCCTACTTTGTCTCCAGTCATGGAAATCTTGTAGCTACTGTTTTGCAGGACCCGTCTTTATGCACTCCAGCAGGTCACAGAGGAGGTAGATGTTAGGGTGGACCAACCCAAGGCCTAAAATGTGGGACTGGGTGGTAGCTGAGTTGGTCAGTCTGGGCCACTGGCACTGTCCCCTCAGGTGAGGGATAGAGTCAGCTGTTCTAGACCTATGTCATAGGGACTAGCTCTCCCATGCTGGTGGCAAGGGGTGAGACCATCTTTTTCAAGTGCAGGGGTGGAGTCAGATGCTGGAAGGTAATTTCATACAATACTCTTGATTGATTCAGAAAACACAGTTATGCATCACAGATGAAGGGCTTTAAAGGGTCTCTTCCCCATGTGGATGCTCTAGGTTTGCATTTTGATATTAGCCCATCACATGAAGTTAGCTGTGGCATTTACTGCCTGTGGTGCCATGTTGGCACTCAGATTTTTCTTATTTTGGAGCATATGGATTTTTGAGTAAGGTATGCTTAATCTGTTTTAACTGGTAGTTGCAAAAGTCTTCACATTTGTATCTGAAAAAAATTGACTGATATGCTTACAGGAAAAGCCCACATATTTTATATTAGCCCATCAAGGCACAAAGGATATATTGACTATATCCTGGCATTTTATGGTAAAGAATAATAATGAAATCCTGTGTATTTGGAAACTATTGTGAAAGTTTAAACTAGACCTTTTTCCTTGCACCTGTCTACAGATTAATTTTCTTATTTCTTACATCATATAAAGCGAATGTTCTGGATATTTATGCTTCATTGGCACCAAGCCAAATTTGCACTTTTGTGCCTGTAGAAAAACAATCATGTAGGTATTTACATATGGTGCAATGCTAAACATCCTGAGCTCACCCAAACCTGCCATGACTCCCCGGCCCTAAAACTAGAGAAGGATGACTTAGAAAGAAAGGATTGAAAGACTATCACAGGATACTAAAAATATGAACTGAAATACAGTAAAAATAATATAGTGTCAATAGACTCAATGATCAATTTTAGGAAATCGGAGCTCTTGTGTTCCCCTCACAGTCTCTTCTATTCCAGAGACATCAATTTTATTTTTATTTACACATATTTGTGTGCATTTAGGTGAGTGTGCACCACATGTGTGTGCCCACAGAGACAGGGGATGTTGGATTCTCTGGAACTGGCATAACAAGCAGTTGGGAGTTGCTCAGTGAATGTTGGGGACTGAACTCAGGTCCTCTGGAAGAGCAGCAAATCGTAACACTAAGCCATCTCTCCAGCCAGAGTTCAGCGTTACTAATCCCCATGTGTTTCTTCCCGTTTTATTGCGTGTGAATGTACCCTTATACTTGCATTTTTCTCACAACTTATTTTAATAGTGTCAAAATATGCTATTTTTTGTTTCTGTTTTTAGTTTAATTTTTGCTGTCAAGGTTGAAAAGTTTTTGTTATGAGATGTGAATTCCATTGTATAGATCTGGCACAAGTTATTCAGTCTGATATCAAAAATCATGAAGAGTGCTTCAACTCTGGATAAACAGTAATTGCAGAAATTGACTTTCACCAGGTGTGGCTACTCACAGGTGTCAAGGTTTCTGTAGGGCAGTGGCTCTCCACCTTCCTAATGCTGTGATCCGTTAATACAGTTCCTCACCCTCTGGTGACCCCCAACCATAAAACTGTTTTCATTGCTGCTTCGTAACTATAATTCTGCTACTGTTATGAATGATAATATAAATATCTGTGTTTTCTGATTGTCATAGGCAACCCCTGTGAGAAGGTCATTGGCCCCCCAAAGGGTGGAAACCCACAGATTAAGAATCACTGCTTTTCTCCTCCAGTCACCAGGGCGAGAGTGCATAGGAATAATCTCTACCTACGCCCCTGTGCTGTCCGTTGTTCTTCATGTTTGGCCAAGCTGTGTTCCCACTAGAAACTTTCTGGTTGAGTCAGACTTACTTGTGTCACTATTTGGACCAGAAATGCTATCTCATTGTGGCTGGGCTTTGAATTTTCCTAGATATTGGTCACACAGGACACTGGATGCTGACTCAGAGTCACAGAGAATATCATTGCCTGGCCTGGTCGCTGATGTCTCAGCCCATGAGCACTTCCAGAGAGGTTCAAACATCTTAAATCTTATGATAGGTTTGAGAAATCTCCTCAGTATGGAATTGTTCTGAGTCATTTGCCTCTGATTGTCAGAACCTGGTGCCGTTAGTTCCCCACTTCCGTGTTCTTCTCACTTGTGGCAATCTCAGCGTCTCCTGCTCTGGCTATTTATAAAATGACAATAGAGTCGAAGCCATGGAAGCTAAAACCACTTTAAATTATGAGGAAAACTGGAGGATGACCATGGCTTTGGTTGACTAGTAATAGCAGGGCTTTGGGGAGGTCCCCAAATCCTATACTACTAACACTGTGTGCTGCAGGGTGAGATCACAGCTGGAACCAGATGTTATTTAGTGCCCAAATGAGGAACCATGCACAAAACTCCCACTGCCAATGTGGAAATGCCCTTTTATTTTAAAGCATTCATTGTATCCTATAAAATAAGGGGAACTGTATACTTTAAAACCAAGCCATCAGTAAATTATTTCTGCTTGAAGAAGTCAGGGAATTTCTGAATCTGTCTGTTCTTTGTTGTTAAGTAAGTAAGATCTGACCCAAGGGAATAGATTTTCTGCCCTTTCTATAATTTCTTTTAGCTATGCCCTGGTATGCTGCCTGCACTCAGCATCCACAACTTTGGCCCTACTTCAGGAAGTTGACAAATGATTGGTTTGCACTATTTCAGGGTTCTCATCATGCCTTGGTCCAAGGAAAGTATGACTGTTGTCAGTAATTCCATTTGTAATTGATTTGTAGTACTGGCAACTGAATGGAGACAATGGTCGCAGCATCTCTCCATTACTTTGGGAAGATTTGATTTCATAAGTACTAAAAACCTAAGAGCCATCGGTCTTCACAGTGGAAAGTTACTCTCTACAAGTGTGGATTTTTGTGCTCAATTGATTTCTTTATGACCAGATTTATGTCATTCCTGTGGCAGAAAATGAAATGCCTAAACCTAAGGGATTAACACATGGAGATGGTCTCTCCACATTTAGCTTGTCATTTAGATTGTATCCACCCTTTTGCATTCTCTTCTTAGGCATTTACTTGGCCTCGCTAGTGAGTAGAAACAGAATACAGATGCATACTTTAAAATAATGGATATGCAGGTTTGATAATTAATATTCTTTCTGTTGAGTCTACATCGGTGTGTGTGTGTGTGTGTGTGTGTGTGTGTGTGTGTGTGTGTGTGTACATCTTCATTGTCCTGAGAATAAAAATGGAAGTATTATGGTTCATTTTGTTGTTGGCATTTTTTTCTTATTTGGAATCGTTTATTAAAATTTCCTGTTTTGACAGATTAATAGCAGGTCTTTTAAGGTAGCATAATTTAAAAAATTATTCCTGAGAATTTTATTCATGTATTTTGACTATATCTATCCAAGTGCCCCCTCCAGCTTCTCCTCATCCCTCTTCCAACTTCTTATAACTCACTGTCTTACTTACTTTTGTATTTCTATAGAAAAATACCATGAAGAAGGCAATTTATAAAAGAAGACATTCAAGTGGGGCCTTGCTTACAGTTTCAGTAGGTTCGTCCAGGGTGAAAGAGAGATTGAGAACCATCAATCACTGGAAAAAAATGATGGTGTGGGCTTTTGAAACCTTAAAGCCCATCCCCAGTGTCACTGGTCTCCAAGAAGATCACACTTCCTAATATTTCACAAAAATTTCCACCAGCTTTGGACCAAGCATTCGAACATACGTGCCCGTGGGGCTCTTCTCTTTTAAACCGCCGCATCCATTCCGTCACTGCTGCCTTTATGTGCCTGGATGTGAGGCCGTCCACTAGAGCATGGATGAAACACTAAGGGTCGCACCCCTGAAGGAAACGGACTGTCCCTGCCCCGGCAGCCTTCAAGGGCCTCAGCTGTGGGTGGGGCTTTGTGAGCCATCCCCCTCCCTCCCCACTTATACTGGAATTTTGACTGACTTCATCTTGTGAAGTGTCTTGCAGGGGACTATAGCCCTGAGCTTATGAGCATAACATGTCCACAATGCCCAGAAGGCACTGTTTATCAGTTCTACACCATGCAGCAGTGCTCAACCATCTCGGCCTCTGACCGTCTTCCCACTCCATCCTCTGTGATGCTCCCTGAGCCTTGGGGAGAGAGGATGGAAGGAGTGTGTGAAAGATGAATTCTGTCACCTATCTTGTTAATTGAAAACAATTGGACAAACAAACAAACAACAAAAGCCTCTGGTCTTCATTATTGGGGTGAGCTCTGTAATGAAGCTATGGGCATATTCTCTTCACGTGTCCTTTTGTAGACACACAGCTGGCTGCCTTTGCGTTCCAGAGTGTGGGTCTCTGCCGCTCTTGCTGACTTGCTCGGGTGGTTGTCTCCTTGCAGGTCATCCAGGCTGTCTTCTTTGGCATCTGCGTGCTGACTGATCTCTCTACTCTCCTGACCAGAGACAGCGGGAACCAGGAGCAAGAACGGCAGCTTAAGAAGCTTATCTCTCTGCGGGACTGGACGCTCGCCGTGCTCGCCTTTCCTGTTGGGGTTGTGAGTATGATGCAGGATGTACTTAGCACAGAGGAAATGTGGGTCCCACTTCAGAACTGTTTTGTAAAAAACATGAGGGCTGCAGGGAGGTGGTGGCAAATGCCTTTAATCCCAGCACTCAAGAGGCAGAGACAGGCAGAGCTATGTAAGTTCAAGGCCAGCCTGGTCTACAGAGTGAGTTCTAGGACAGCCAAGGCTACACACAACATAGAGGAAATCTGCTTTAAAAAAAAATGAGAACTCTTCATAGAAGAGTTCTGTCCTTAGTTGGTACTGGGGACAGAACCCAGGACCTCGTGGGCTCTCCACCACTGAGCTACATACACATTGGCCCAAGGTTTCTGGGTTTGTTTTCTAATGCTGCTAGCCCTCCAGAAAATGTATTCTCTCGTGGTGCTGGAGACTGGATGTCTGAGGGCAAGGAATCCTGGAGTTGGTTTCTTTTGATGCCTGTCTCTTTGGCTTCAAGAAGGTTGCCTTCATATTGTTACATTTTCTTTCCTCTGTGCCAGTCTGGGTTTTGATTCCCTCTTCTTATTGGAAGATCCATTATGTCAATCAGAACTCTCTCCAGTGTCTGCATTTAACCTTACCTACTGTCATGCTCTGAGCTTCTGGGGAAATAAGCCTTCAACCTATGAAGCCTGAGATCTATCAGTTGGTGAAATAGTTGCCAAACAAACATGAGGCTTGCATTCAATTCCCCAGAACCAGTGTTAAAATACAAAACAAAACAAATCAATCAAACAAACAAAAGATCCTGAAACCAAAGTTTGCACAGTTAGACAGCCTAATTGGCCAGCCAGAATATCCTATCTGTGAATTCCAGATAAGGGAGACCCCTGTCTCAGAAAACAGAGACTATGGCTTCTGCAGCATAATATGTGAGATTGTCCTCTAGCCTTCACATACATTAGTACATATACATGCACACACATCTCCCTCTCTCTCCCTTACCCCCCTCATACGCGCACACACACACACACGCATGCGTGTGCGCGCACGCACAAACACACACACACACATACACACACACACACACACACACACACACACACAGGTTCACATTTTCTTGAGTAGCCTAAACTTAAAATAATGGCTGTCCAGTGGGTCAACTGTTTAAGCACTTTGAACTTAAGAGGAAATCACCATTATGTAGCACTTCTCTTACCCAACTGCTCCATTAGCTGGTATTAGTTAAATTATGTGGCTCGATGTTTGGGTCTGTCTGGCCCCATTGATTTTCTGTTTTTAGTTAGGTCCCCTCCATAGCTCAGCTTCCTTCACAAGTCTGTTAATTTTCCATTGTCTACACACAAACCATGTTTCTTTACAGGTCCCACGAGACACCATTGACTTGTAATTTGTGTGTAGCCAGAAGAAGGAGGAATTTTTGTGTATCTGAGATTGTGAGAGCAAGTTAGAAGTACCTTATGTAACACAGTTTGAGACCTTCCATTTGTTGTCTGATTCTGGCAGGAACAAACAGAAGCTTCAAGGTCATGGCTAGCACATATACTAAGTCCAAGTTCAGCACAAGAGGAGTCAGAAAGTTCTTTAAATCCTGCCTTTTTCATATTTGTCAGTGTTGGCAGAGAGATCCATGCTCTTAGCACCGGGTTGCCAATTTCTGTGTGCTGAATTGTATTTTTATGGATGAAGTAGCCCTCTGCTTTTGAGTATAACACACGGATCTTAAGATCCTTAGAATTGAATCATAACCTCATTCCCTCATTCTTTCTTCTAAAGTTCTAAGTGCGAAGGTTTTCAGATGGAGGCTGTCCAGACCCCTCAAATCCTCTTGTTTGAATGTTTCACATGATACACACACATACACACACACACACACACACACACACACACACACACACACTCCTTGATTTCTTTATACAATTCAAATACTTAGTCATTGTGCTAGCACAGACTTGTAATCACAGTACTCTGGAGGCTGAGGCAGGAGGATGATTATTGATTCAGGCTATTCTGGGCTACATAGTGAAATCTTGTCTCAGAAGGCAAATTCATCTACTTTCTATGAGTCATGTAAAAAGAAATCCGTGTGGCATAAGATGTGAAGGCATGCACTTTCTGCACAAAAGAGTCAGGCCTCGAAATCTGAGTGTCTGCGTGTGAAATTTTCTCTTGTTTGGAGGGAGGGGAGCAACACCATCTGCATTTAACCAGCGTTACACATTGCACTTTCCCAGCACGAGCCTGTCCCTTTCCAGGTTGTAAGCTCCTGACAGTTGGCCTTGTATTCTCCCTGTACCTTGGTACCCGCTGTGCTTCCTGGTGAACAGGAAGTGATCAGAGCTCCGCAGATTCACACAACAAATGGGAGAAGAGTCAGTGATGGATCGGGGGTGTGCAGTTAGTGGTTCGTGTAGCTCTCTTATATTGGTATTGACAGCAGTTGTTACTAGTTCCAGCGTTCCCAGCCTTCTTCCAGGTTCCCTTCCCACTTCCATGCCTCCCCTGAATTTTAAGAAAGCCTCTGTATGCTTTGTGCTCTCTCCACTTCCTGATGATTTCTTATCTCTCCCCACATTGTTAAAAGTCTTTGTTGGTATTTGCTAAAACTGAAATGATGTCCACTCTTTCCATGCACTGTCATTGACTTTGTATCTGTTCACCCAGGTCCCACCACACTCCTCACTCTAATGCAAGAAGAAAAACATCATTTGAGTTAAAAAAAAAAACACCTGAGAGACAGATTATTCTAAGATTCCACTAATTTTATTGCATGGCATATTTACAGAAGATAGGAATTTAGTGCTAAATAAGCATTTCAACTCAAAATCAAGCTTCAGCCAAACACTTAACTTTGTCATTTAACGTCACCTTTCTTTTCCTAAGCTTACTTCTCCATTTTTTTTCTCAGTGTCTCTGTGTATTGCCAAGACTTCGGACTCCTCTGTAACTTTCTCCATTTTGCTTGTGGACTTCAAAATGGTTTAGAACCCCACTGTAGTTATGTTCCCATCACTTAAGACTTTCCTTAATTCTTGCAGCAATGCTCTGACACATCACTGGGAGAGACTGTTACTCTCCCTTAGGCTCCTGGCCTGCAGGGTGTCCTCTCACCTGAACAACCAAAGACAGTTGAAGGATGGGCATAGCCTTAGTGCCTAGTGAGTGATGGATACACAGTTATAACACCTGAAGCAATCTGAAATACAAGAATGCTTAGCAGGTCAAGTGATTGAGGAGAGTATTCAAGCAAGAGCTTTTACTATTTTGTTAACACAGAACCTCACTGAGAAAAACATGCTAATACTATCTCCAAGGCAGGGGAGCACTGGCCTGACCCCAGCCTCCTCAGGTGGAAGGTTCACAGGCTGGCTTTGAACCCCTCCTACGGTCCCCAGAGGTGTCCTTGGCTGTTACCCTGTTTCCAGAGTTGTCCATGCTGCTTTATACTAATTTCCTCTGTGTCACACTTTATATTTGTCACTTTGTTATCGGGAAAGCAATATCTTCTTGCTTCATGTCTTAGGCAAAGAACATAAACACAGGGCAGTGAATTGTATCATGTCTGCTCAAACTGTTCTGGAAAAAGTTTTTTGGCCAGAGCTTTTTTTGATTCATGTTCTCTGTGTCTGTCTCTATCCCCTCTCCCCAACTCTCTCTACTGCTTCAACTGAAGTAGGCTATCTCGGGTCTGTAGGTTTCACATTGGTACTTCCTCCAGGAACAGGGTTAGTTGTGAGCTGACAGTAGTTGCTTTATTTGAGCATGAAATAATGAAAAGGCCTTGGAGTTCTTTACACCTCGCAAAAGGCCCCCTTCATGGCACCTTTTAATCCCAAGATTAAAATAATGAAATGTCCCAATCAAAGACAATTAAAGTGAACTCTTGTCTCATTGGGACTTGGAGAAGCTGGGCAGGATGGCTTGAGCGAACATAACATGTATCGTCAATGGCTGTGTGGATTCCCATAAAAAGCAAAGCTGTCCTTGATTAGTGATGCTAATGGCCGGAAACCACCGCCACTCCCCAAGCCTGGCAACTCGTGTTGCAGGGATAACCCTCTAGAGGCTGTTCTTTCCATGTGCAGTTTATTTCTCAACCCCATCACCCTTTCAGAGAAGCGTTGCAAACAATTCTGTGACATTACGTGGTCTGGAAGCTCTGAAACTTCTTAGGATCAGCTCAGGGAAGAATGTCCTTTGTCTCCTGTGAGTTTGTTGACTCTGGTGATTGTGAATCCCGTTATAGTTGAGAAAGTAGGCATGCCCTTTTAGCTAAAAAAGGAAATAAAAGAGGATGAAGAGTTTGAAAATGCCCCTCTCCGAAACTCTAAATGTGTCTCTGACTGCCATCCATGTAAAAGGAACAATTGCATGTTTTCTGTTCATTCAGACCCATGCAACCCTATTCATCTGCAGCTGCTGCATTTGAATAGTTCCCATAATAAAATCGTTCACGTCACCAGTGCATCTTGTCCTGGTGTTGTTTTGGCTTGCTCCAGTCCAGATGCTGCCCTAACCATCCCAAAGTGAAGACATGAATGTCACTCTCTGCGTGGGTTTGTGTTGGCCCTGAAGGTTTGGACCTGCTCTGTCCTGGGATGGTTGTCTGGAGTGTCACAGCAAGCCCGCATGTGCGTAAATGAGTTTGTCTGGAATTTGTCCTTCTTACCAAATATAGTTTCAAAGCTGTTTGCCAAGTAACCATTTCTGGTGTTATAATATGTCTCCTAAACACTTGAAGATTTTACATGTACAGTCAGCTGTGGGCTCTTACTCGTGATGAAGACTGCGTGTTATCTCTTTCTTAGGAAACACAACGAAAACCAACTTTAACACCTCAATGCAAACTCAAAGAAATTTGAAACTTAGAGGGAAATATTTTTTGAAGTTCCTCACTTAATTTATTCTATAAATTCTGGATTAAACTTTAAGATACACCTATCTGCTAAGACTGTATCACATTTTCCTATAAAGACCTAAAATCAAACCCTTTCCTAGTTTCCTTAAGCCTTAGCTGTCATCTTGTT